TTTATGGACATATATTTTGACTTCTATTAAAATCTTTGCATATTAAGTTTTGGTTTCAAAACTTAAACTCTAAATATAGCAGAATGTGGTTGGTTTTGCCCTTCATGTGCAATCCGGTCAGGTAAGACCTGCTCCTGCGGTTTACTCTTGAGGATTTGCCCTCTGTGATGTTTCAGTGTTCATCACGAGCATGGCTATCAAATATAGTATATTTAGCGAGATTCATTAGATAGATTTTCAGGGAACCACCGTAATTTTTTACCCTGGGAAAGCTGTTTTAAGTCCAGCTTTTCCTGACTGGTAGATTTGGAGATGGAAGGGCATTCACCTGCTGATTACCTGCTATGAGCAGTTAAAAACACAAGCATTTTATGGTGGTCACACCCTGAATTACAGTTTTTGTGTGTGCTGAATTACGTTACAGTATATTAGCACTTTGGCCCTTGTCCCAGCCCAAGAGTTTATAACACATTTCAGGTATCTAGATTAGCATGTACATCAAAACACATGGTTCCCTGAACATCCCACAAATCAGATTTTTTTCCCACTTCCAACAACACCATTCCAAAAAACATTCCTTGTAGAAACAAGTTTTGAAAGGCTCAGGGCTGAGCTGTAGGATAGGAGAAAAACTTGCCAGTTTATATTGGCAAGGGTGAAGAAATAATACTCAAGATTATAGTCTTTGAAGGCGAAGGTGAATAGGGCTGCATAAACATTAGTATTTGGACTTAGGACTTTGCTTGGAGCAATGTGCACCTTGAACAAACCTTAATGACAGAGACCACATGGCTAGATGGCAGTTCAAGTGCTTGGTAAACAAGTTATTTATTAGTCACTCCATTTTTAACCCCTTTAAAATTACAAGGCTGATGTTTTGTAAAACCCTGGTGCTACAGAAGTTATTTCTGATGTGTTTGTGTGATTTTTCTCAGTAACTGAAAGTATATGTACATTAAAAGAGATAGCTTCTAAGATGTGTGAGTACAAGAGAATGCCAGCTTTGAGGTAACACTCTGTGATTTTCCCAAGATGCAGTTTTTTCTTGCAAGTAATATACTGCAAGCGATCTTTGTACATCAACTCAGGCAAAAGGAAATATTTAAATGCACTGTTTTAAGCATTTTAGATGGAAATAGGTCCCATTGACTTGAGGATTATCTTGCAATATCTTAGGATTATGATTCCTATTGCAAGAGTTTTCATTAAATTAAATTTTACATGGGGTTTTTTTGGATAGAATTTATGGTGTTTTACGCTTAGCTTCTCATCTTCAATATCCAAGAGGCGAGAATAATTTATCCTTTCCTCCCACCCCATCCAAATCCCTCATGCACAATAATCATAATTTTCTGGCAATTTGATAATAAACCTTAAAATAGGAGTGGAACAAGCTCTATCACTCAAATGACACAAGCTTTATTTATCATTCAAAGCTTAAAACAGTTTCCCAGGGGAAAAAAAACTTAATTCCCTGAAAAGCTATCTAATCGATCTTGCTAAATACTCTGTATTTGATAACAAGATAGTAAGAGAAACACATATGCAAAAAAACTAGAAAAGGACTCAAAATTAGCTGAGTCAATATAAGGTAGTTTTCCATTTTCCTATGAGTAGTTTCTAAATGTTTCCTAAGGGAATTTGCTAATATAGTTTTCTTTGTTAAAGACACCATCTGCCAGTAGCACAGTATTTCCTATCTCAGAGTTACTATTCATCATATAACTAAGGGACAGGCTTCAACATATACTGCTGGTAATCAGATGATTCACTCCAAGATTCCCAGAAACCATTAAGAATCACTTTCTCACCTTGAAGCAAAGCTCAGCCAAAAGGAAGCATTGTGGAGAATAATACAATCACAAAGATGGCAGTACCCCAAAGGGAAATCCTTGATACTGTAGTGTAGGGTGAATCATTTTCTTGTCTTGACAACCTGGATCCAGAAGCAGGGACCTTTCTTTCAGCAGTGCTGTCAAAGTGCTTTCTTCTTATGTAAAATTGGTGCTGCAACCTGTGGGGATTAATATCAAAGCCTACCTTATTTATTTACAATTCAGCAGATCTATAATTTCTTCAGTCACATTGCTTTCTAAAATTGGTTTTGAAATTGCACATGAAACAATAATTCTTAATAGCAATTCATGGTTCTTCTGTGAGGGATCTTCCTTGGCAAACAAACCTCAATGTTTTGATTTTAGCTAGTAAACACTGAGTCAAACCTTGGCTAGCTTATTTGTGTGCATGTGTATGGGTTAGTGATCTCCTTAAAATGAACAACAGTCTTGAGATTTGAGAAAGCCGGAATAAAAAGGTCATCTTGCTAGATCAGATGAAAGCCTACCAATACTTCCCCGCCTCCTTATCCTCTAATTAGTCAGTCTTATGACCTTGGGAAGCTCACCAGCACAACAGGAAGATTATGGCTTTCAAAATATGGTTTCTGATCTCTATATCAGTCTTTTACACCACTGATCTAAAGCGCTATCTGTTCAATTATTCTTAGGCTGGCACAAACCGATTTTGTCATACAATTTGTTGTCCTTGTTGCCAATTGCTATGCTGTCTTTGTCCTGTCTTCCCTGAGTCACTGCCAAATAGTGCTGTCTGGGTTGTGAATGTGCTAGTTAGGATGAGTAAACTGGTCATGATGAACAAGGTACCCTTTAATTTTGCTGCAGGTTCCTTTTAACGCAACACCAGCAAGCAGTGAGACCATTTGCTAGTCAAGGCACCACAACAAGAAACGGAGTAGATCAGAGTGCAGGACTCCAGTTGGACTTTTCTAGGCTGGTTTGTCTGCCCTTTCTGCCATTTGGGTATCTCCCAAACTAAAATAACATGAAATAAAGAAGCATGTAATGCAAAAATAACCCAGGAAAGCAGGAAATAGACCCTGCCATTATTGTTTATTCAGGCTTGTCCAGCCTATAGTCCACAGCTGGGAAGCTAGTAACGCAGCCCCACAAGATCATAAACTTTAATGTTATTATGAGATTATAGTTTTATACATATAGCTATATTATATAGATTATAATATTATATATTTTATATGTGGCCCAAGACAATTCCTCTTCTCCCAGTGTGGCCCAGGCAAGCCAAAAGGTTGGACACCCAAGAACTAAATCCTTTAGAACAGTACTTCTCAACCATGGAAATCTTAAGATCTGTGGACTTCACATCTTCCAGCTGTCCACATATCTTAAAAGTTGCCAAGATTGAGAAACATTGCTCTAGAGTGAGATAACGGAAACTGGCTAGTTGCAGGACAATTAGATCTCATATAGAGGAGAGGAATGGATATGGTTGAACATGAAAACATCGTTCTCTAATGGCTGAATTTGACCATAGCAAATTTTAACAGTTGATTTTCCTTTTACTGTCCCTGTTCCCCAGGAACTGAAGGCAAAGGTATGCCTACCATTTCCCTTTCATTTTTTTTGCCCATAACAGGAACTAGTAGGATAAGTTGGGCTAAGAGATAGTTAACTAGCATAATATCTGGAAGAGGGTGCTCCCTCTAGATCCCAGTGGTTATTGAAGTCATCTGCATGATTTTGAAGTTGATTTTTCTGTCACTGTCCCCTTTCTCTGGAACAACACTGAGAGATCCATTGTTCATTGTCTAATGTCCATTGTCAATATTAGACAAGTTCCAGCTCTTTCTGGCTTTCCATAAAGCTATTAAGACATGTCTGTTTCAGCAGATATTTGGGACCTGTGGAACTGGCTTTATTCATTTGTTTCTTCCCAGTGAATACTTTATATATATCAAATTTCTTGGAGTTGGGACATTTATGTTGGTAGTTCACACTGCTTATAAGTCTGTAAGTTCAAATAGTAAGAAGGTATGTAGGGAGGTAAATAAATAAATAAAGGACCCATTTAGCTTTCATGACTTCCCAGGCTGTAGTTCAGGATCTTAATCACACTAAGGTATGATTGACTGCTTTCTAAGTTAGTGTAGTGTATGATGCTTGGCAAATGAGTTAGGTTGGCAAACTTTGAAAGCATAGTCTTAAAGTAGGGGCTTCTTTGAGTAAACCTCAGCTCCTGCTGATATCTAAAGATGTCTGTGCAGTTTTCTTGACAATAGAAGTTGTTTGATATTGTCTTCTTCCAGGATAGTTTTGATGTGCTTTTGAAGATGTCTGTCTGTCTGTCTGTCTCTCTCTCTCTCTCTATCTATCTATCTATCTACCATCCATCCATCCATCCATCCTCCATTCTGTATTTTTATACCCTACCACCCAGGCTGGATTTTTTATTATGTTCCAGCATCCATTAATATTGTTAATCCTATTATTTTTCAACCAGTGAAGGTGTGTTATCAGCATGATTGAACTGGAAAGCATTCACCTTCCTTTTGTTTCCCTTCTCTTTGAACACTTCTGCTTACAAAAGGAAAATAAGGTCATTTTTTTTAATATGGTACTTGATCCCTTAAGGACATTGGAGAGTTCCCAGCAACTTTATCAATCCTTGCTGAGTATAAAGCTCAACACTGCAAAACAAATCTGTTAGTGCCATTCTGTTACCTTTTAGGTCACAAGTAGACCACAATATATGCTATAAATCATAGCAATAGCACCTAGACTTATATACCACTTCACAGGGCTTTTACAGCCCTCTTTAAGTAGTTTACAGAGTCAGCATGTGTATAATATCAAGCAAACAAGTTTGAAACTCCTATCATTGTTTATGTTTATGTGTAGAGACAGATGGTAACACAATCCTGAGAAGTAGGAAATAATGTCCATATTTAAGAAGAATCCATTTGTGTCCTTTTAATTGTAACATAAGATTAATAGAGTTTATAACCCTTTGATAGAAAACTGGGAAATTTGTTCACCAATGCATATAGATCTATAGCTATAAAAATAAATTTCCATCAACCTAAACTTACTATGTGAAAATAAATTCTGTGCAAGTGAGGACTTATTTCTGAATTGTACTATTTAGGCCTGGAATTACACATATCGGGCTACAATTTGCAGAGAGATATTTCTAATTTTAATATAAGTAGCTGTTACATTTACTTGAAAGGAGTTTCACTTGAAACCATGTACATACAAAGGGTTCAGGACTGGATTTTAGCCTGAAAGCATTAGAAAAGTAATAACCTTTATAAAAGTGAGAGACAACATTTGGGATAGTTCTGTTTAAAAATAATATGTGCCCCCAATGGATTTTACTTAGTTAACTACTGTGATAACTTTTTAAATCTAAAATAAGGATACATCATTTATTCATATAGCTGATTCCATAAAGCAATAGCATACAAGTATCAGTTTTAATTTAGAGTTAACTTTTTAGTTAAGAATGTCTTCAAGGTAAAAAATATGTATTTAACAGTACAGACTTGCACGCCTTTATTTAGAAGACTGTTCTACTACCTTTAATCCATAAGTGTTCATAGGATAGAACATTGAGAATAAATCATCATTGTAAAATGAAAGCCTTTATAAGGATTTATGATTATTTCCTCTTAGCTAAAGTTATTGGATAAGTTAGCTAAGCACCCCAGCTACAAAGTCTGGAATGATGCAATTGGTAAATATACATTCCATTCATCTGTTAGTATAGCCTGACCTTCATCTAGGATACAGGAAAAGTGTTTCTTCTCATTCTGTATTTTTTGAACACGGGAAAGCAAATGATGGTGACTCAGAATTTCGTGTGGCCAACCTAGATCTACCTAGAATAGTTTCTGAATGATTTGTCTAAAGAAATCAGAGGAAGAGGAACTCTGCTTATTGGTTTGTAGTAGCTGATCTGCACTTTTGACCAGATTTACCTTTAACAGATTTACGTGGGAGAGGAAAAGAGATTAAAAATACAAATCAGTTATGTTTATATAAAATAAAAAAATTCCCTTTTTGTCATTCCATGTTTTTAAGAAATCCAATTGCCTCATTAGTTTCATGCACATTATAGTTATTAATTTAACATCTTTTTTAAAAAGTCCAGTGTTATGATCCTGAAGCAAAAGTAGAGATTGCTTTTAACTGGCTACATTTTATGATCAGATTAAGTTGTCCTCATAAGCAATCAATCCACTGATTAAGTTTTCTTATTTCCAATATATGGGAGTAATTTTAGAGATTTTATGTTTGTAAAAATGTAAAAAAAAGTTTGCAGAAATTAGTGTAACATAATTAAATGCACTATCTGGTTATGCACATTACTTTTACAATTGGATTCCTACCCTCTCTACCCTGAAATAAAAATGTGTATAAATATATGTTCCATAAACTGGGCCAAATTTTACTGGCATTGGTTGGATAGTGTAGTCCTTTATTTATAGTACAGTTCAGCAATCAACTAATCTTGAAAAAAAAGAGAATGTGGTGGGTTTACTGAATTCATTGGTTAAATATAAGAGTGTACTTACTAATTGTAATCCTTTTTACTACTTTAATAGTACAATTTTCAGTACTAAGCAAATTGCAACAGCACAGAGCTCTTCAGATCTTTGCACTGAGCTTGTAAAATCCCATGTAAATCATTGCATTCTATCTTGAAACTGCAATGCTTGTAAAATTTATATAGATTTGTTATATCTGATTCTTCTCCAGCACTGAGACTTATCAGGATTTACAATGCATACATCATTAGAATTTCAACTACAGCAATTTCTCTGTATTTTGACTGAGGACATCTAAGCTTCATTGGTGCATGTTTTCTGTTTTTCCCTGCACTGCAGCGAAGAGAACTTTTTTTTTAAAGTGTTTATTTCAATTCTAAACATATTTACTTAGATTATGTCCAAGGAATCTTTCTTCCACCTAAAATAAGGGCAGCATGTTTATGGTTCATATTAGTGTTCTGTCTTCAACTCAAAAAAAGCTTCTACAAAACTGCAACATCAGATCCGCCCTCAATGGCTCTCTCATATCAGCAGAACACTGTATCTATTCTCCCTGGTAGTAAAGTGAGAGCTTCTGGCTCAAGTACAGAAGAAATTTCTCAGGATCCTGTTGCCATAAAAAGCCATTGGGAGAACTCCACAAATAAACCTTTTCCTAAACATGATTTCATAACATATTTAGCTCAAATATACCATAACTAGTATCCAGAAGTTGTGTGTTTCCCTTTTCCTTTTCACTTGCCTGGATTCTGTGAACCTTAATATAAAAGGGAATAGTTCTCCTTAATTAAGAAAAAATATTTTCTGATGACACTTTGTTCTATTCTTCTCTATCACCTTCTAATCAAAGAAAGTAATCTTTAAAAAAAAAGTTGCTTTGGCTACTAGGTTATGTCAGTAGCTGCAGGATTATTATTATTTAAATAAAAAGATAAAAAAGGACATTCACAGAAAATGTTTAAATGCCTGATTTCACTTTATTTAATGCAAAAGATTAAAAAAATAGGAAAAAATAGTAATGTGTTAGTTCAGCAACTATAAACAATGAAAGCATAGTGCAGGTGGTATTTTAATAATGATAACTTAAAAGTATAAGGAAAGTGAGATTGTGACAATCACACTCTCCATTAAACAACATTTTGCTTTATTGCTATACAAAGAATCACCATTAAAAACTGGAAAAAATTAAGGATGCAACATCTGACTCCATTGAAATAAGCAATTAAGTTCACATTAGCTGCAATGGAATCAAGTTTTGTTTGGTTTATTGGATAGTAACTGTAGTATTGTTGCAGCTAAAGCACTTTAAAAAACTTTGTAGCCAGGGAAGCATATTGTGTGCATCTGTGTGTGTATATATGTGGCTATATGCTTATCTGCTGATGTCAGAAACAGATTTAAAAAAACAAAAACAAAATTACCTTAGGCCAATTGAAATCACAGAAATGCATTTAAAAAAAATCATATCACAGTTTATGTCATTTCTGTAGTATAAATTTATAAAATATATGAGAACTGGTCACCTTAACAGAGGTTTGGAAGAAATTGGCTGAACTGATAAAAAGTCTTGAAGTATGTTCCAGCTGTGTTCATGGCAAGCTTTAAACATCCCACTCATTGAACTACTTTGAAGAACATACAGTGATATTACTGAGCTACAATAGGAAGATTGTAACTAAGGATTCTAACCAAATGCTTCTTGATAATCTGTCATGCTTGAATAGCATTTTGAAGAAAGGAGTTACTGTCATCCACCTCAGATTAAGACACTCAAATCTGAACTGTTATCCCACCTCAGATTAAGCAGCTCAAATCTGAACTACATGCCAAGATGTCACAATGAAAATTTTAGTAGGGGTATTTTTTTAACGTAAAATGCAAACCGTTCATACAAATTAGTTTAAAACATGAGGTATTATGTCAAAAAGATTCTTAAGAACTTATCCTCTATTAATTCAAAATCCAATTTTTAATAAAGTGCCTAAATTCTTATTTCAATTATAGTGGTTCCAAAGAATCCTTACAGTTGTACATATGTGCGTTTCCCATCTCAAACTTTCTAAACATGTTTACATAAGACACCAGTCTGATCTATATGTATTTCTATAATTTCAAATATTGAATTGGTTTATCATGCAAAACTTGTTATTTAATATTACACTGACCTGTAAAACGGAACACAACGCTAGTGGGTGTGCTTATTAAAATGTTAAAAAAAAAAAATAGAATTGCACATGTGCAAAGTTAGGTTTTCAAATGTGTTGACCACTAAAAAAGGACCCTATCAAAATCTATTCAGCATTAAATAGAAGACTGAAGATGAACACCTAAAAACAGTCTGACCCAATAGTATAAAATATGATTAAATGTAGCTAAAGACAATATATTGTTAATACCTAATACAGAGGGGCAAACTGCTATTTGAAATAATCATTTATGACCATATGCAAAAGTGGTCACCAATAATTAATGAAAGTGGTTGTACAGCAATGTTGCTAACACAATTGTGAACAGCACAGCAACACTACAGTGAGTCTTGACTATTTCTAGCAGCTGATGTTTATCTAAAATACCGGTATCTGTCTTCTGAAGCAAAAAGAAGGATGATCAAAATACTAGTTATGCAAAATAATGGATGAAGATATAGTCCAGAAGGCATGGGATGCCTTCATAAAAATTCAAGGAGATTTAAATCCTAGGTTGGATTAGGAAATTTCAGACAGAAATCCCCATTAATCTCTCTGCTGACAACACAGACATGCCAAGCAAAACCTTCTCTGCTGCTGTCATTACCTCTCTGCTTTTGCTCTACTCAATTAGGTGACATCAGCAACAAAAGCAATAGCAATAGTTAGTTCTAAAACATTTAAGTGTAAAGAAGAAAGTTCTTCCGCACTACTGTAGAAATCCTTAAAACCTACCTCAGTGTTTTCCATACAAGTATGAAGGGCATGGCAATGTTCCATTCATTGATGTTGGAAAGTTGTGAATTTATTAAAAAGATGGCAGTGCTATTCTGTTTGAACTAACGCAGGGCTAGTCAATAATTAAATTTTATCACAAAAGAACTGCAGGAACCTTAAGCAATTCATGACAAAAACAGTTTTGCAATCTTACTACCAACTATTAGAACTGTGGTTATTTTGCCTTTAACAAAAAAAAACAAAAAACAACCCACCTCCTCAGTCTCTAACACAATAGCACCTCACTTTAAGCTGAATAGTCTGCAAACAACTTCCTTCTACAAGCAAAAAACGCTGGCCAGTTTTTGCAGCAGCAGCAGTGAAGGAATAATAGTATTTCCACACAAACCCCTATTGCTTCATGTCTTTGGACTGGACTAATACCAACCTTGTTTGAATCCTATGATCTTTTTAATGCCATAATTTCTCTAAAACCTAAAATGCCTTCAGCATGAATAAGGGCAAAAAAGAAAAGAAAAGAAAAAGGAACCACAGACAATAAGGCAATCTTTACAATGTTGAAAGATGTATTTGGCATTTTTTTAAAAAAAAAAAAGGGGGGGAGAACCAAATGCATACAATTTACAGCTAGAAGCATTTCTGGTTTGCCAAGTGCTCTCTAAAAAAAGCAGCGCAAGTCACAGCCTACACTGAACAGTAACTGTCACCAAGGAAGCACAACAAATAGTTGCTATAACAACAACAAAAAAGAGCATTTATAAGTACATACCTTTTGTCTTCAAAAATATAGAAACACAATGTATTCAAAAAAGAAATCAAAATTATACAGCCATGTTTTATGAAGTCTACATTTCCCTTGTCTTGGATATATATATATATATATATATATATATATAATATAATATATATATAGATATTTATAATATTTATAGGTATATACAGTTCAAGCCGTTTTCTGTTAAAGTTGATGTTGCAATGAAAAACTGGAAAAGTCATGAGTCCCTCTCTTTTTTCACTTTGACATCTCCTGCAAGAATGGTTGCAATCTCCCCTTGCATGAAGGCCCAAGGGACATTGGAACCCACTAGGGGGCACTTCTCCCCACTGGGACAATACACTTCGCCATTAGCTCCTTGCTGTTTGATGCTCTGTCTAGAGCAAGGGAAGCAAAACTTATGAGAAGGAACGGAGGGACACTGCACAAAGTGGGTGTCTTCCAATCGCTCGTGACACAGGGTGCAGCAGAGGGGGACACTTGCTGCCAGAGAAGAGTCTGGGAGGCTGACAGGGTGCACTGGTTCCATCCCTCCAGGGTTTGCCCCTTGGCTTGGCACTTCCCTGGCCAGCCTTCTTTGGTTCATAGGGGATGGAGAAGGGGGACTACTGCTATTCCTCCTGGTGGTGGAGTGAACCTGGTTGGCATCTTTGGAAGCATGGTTGCCCCCGGCGTTGTCTGCAACCAAAATTAGCGCAGCCATAGGGGACTGACCATTCTGAACTGCCTCTGGTGGCGTGGTCCGATTAGAATGAGGCGAAGCAGTTGGTGGTGGTGGGGACATGAAAGATGCAGCTGCCATTGGTATTTTCATCCCTTCTGATGAGGTGGGTAACCATGACTGTGCCTCGCCATTGATTTTTGGAGGTCCAGCTTCACCTTCTGGCTCTGGAGAAGCCTTTCTCTTCCTCGCAGCCCGAGCCCCTAGAAAGAAGCAGTGGAGGAGATGAGATCATGTTGCAGAGAGAATGGTCTGTCCTATATCACAGTCTAGTCAGTTGAAGCAGCTGGACCTCAGCCAAATTACTCACTGGATACAAATGGGGAAGACCAGCTCAAAACCAACAAGAGTTCACCTTAACTGGGTTTCTGAATCAGCTTCTGCAAGATAGACCAACGTCCTGGGCCACTGCTCATACTATTATGGTACACGCTGCAGTCAAATGTAACTTACATTGTGCCTCTCTCCTCCCACATTAGTGGCCATGAGCCAAAGAAACAATTGCATGCTTGTAATTTTCCACTGGCTGGAAACACATTCACAGTCAACTGTGCACCCAATGCGTCATAATCCACTCACACAGAGAAGAGCCCTACATTTATCCATGCACACTAAGTCTCTAGCTAACTTCCGCATGTTTGTTAATTTGCACGCTCTGAGTTCTAGCCTGGTGCAGAAGGAGGAAGACAAAACGTTTCCCAGCCCCGCCTGCCCCACAGCTCCCCGCACAAGAGAAAGTGGCCAGGAATAAGGAGGGGAAACCTCCCCGCCAGATGCTACTTCCGAGCCCGGAGTACGCTGCCACAGCCAGGCACAGGGAAGGAGGCTGCAAAAGCGCACCTGACCCGGTGTTTCAGGGAAGAAGGGCGAGCGGTTCTCCCTCCACAAGAACCCCATGCCCGCGTCAGACGCCCGCCTTTCTTACCTGATTTGGCCGCGGCCCCGTTGCTGTCGTAGCCCAACAGTCTCCCTCCCGCCATGCCGGGCTCCTTCTTGAACTTGCTTTCGAAGGGCGCCGCGTGGCCGCTGTGCTGCAAGGCCAGCAGAGTGTCACGCACAGTCTTGGGCTTGCCCAGCCACTCTTGCTCCGATCCCAACGCTGCCCCCCGGTTTTTGCTCTCCACGCCGAGTTGGTCCAGAGGGTCCGCCGAGCCCCGCGCCGCCTGCGGCTGTCCCTTTTCCTTGCCCTCCTGGTCGCTGGCGCCGCCGCCGCCGCCCCCAGACGACGAGGAAGATACCGAGCCGGGCCGCTTGTGCCCGCCCCCTTCCCCGGGCTGCTGCTGGCTCTGCTGCGCTTGGGAGACGGAGACCTGCAGCGGGGTTGGCGGCGCTCCGGAGATAGCCGCCAAGGAGGCTGCCGCAGCCGCCGCCGCCGCCCGGCTGCTGATACTGATGGAGGCGGGCAGGGAAGCTCCGTTCATGAGGGGCACCAAAGTGGGGGCCACCGCGTGCGTCCGGCGCGGGTTGGGACTCTGACGGTTCAGTTCGGGCGGCTCCTCAGGCTTGGAGAAACCATTGGGAACGAGGATGCCGTTGACCTGCCTGCTCCCGCCGCCGTACTCGGGTCCCAGGCGGGGAGGCGGCCGCTCAGAGGACGCCAGTGCCGCCGCCAGAGAGTAGCGCTCGTGGGGCTGAGGCGGCGCGCGAGACGCCGCCTCGGCCGTAGCCACAGCCGCAGAGTGCATTTCTTTGGTGCTGAGCGGCGGTGGCGGTTGCTTCGTGTGCGGAGGTGGCGGAGCCCGGCCTTCCTGGAAACTGTGCGCCCGCTTGAGCTGCCGAGCCGTGTCGATGACGAACTCCACACGGTCGGCCCCTTCGTAGTTGACGCAGCCCCTGCAGACGGGCTCGGTGAAATCCCAGATCATGGCCCAGGGCATGCGAGGTAGATCGCACAAGTAACAGGACTGCCTGCGGGAGGCAGCGGCCACCGCCACCGCCGCGGACGACATGGCCGAGTCCAGGGGCAGCGAGCGCCCCGCGCCTCGTCCCCTACCTCCTCTTCCCACCGCTGCTCGGCTTGCCACCGGGGAGGCTCGGCGTGTTGCAACCGCTGCAGCCTTTTGCCCTGAATGCCAGCTCCGAGGCGAAGGAAGCGCCTCTGCTTTCTGCCAGGCTCTCCTATTTCCGGGACTCCGGGGACGTGGCGATATGCATCGCCCGAGCACAGCTCCCTCCGACCCCCCAGTACGACACGCCGCTCTTTCTGCCCGCACCGCACTCTTGCTACTCCAGCACTGCCCGCCGGCTGCCGGCCGCCCAGACACTCACACTGGGCGGGGACTCCAGAAGCAGTCGCCGCCGCTTGGGCGCTCTGCTCCAGTGACTCGATTCTTCGACAGTGCCCAGGAGCGCCTGCGTGTTAGGCTCTCCCCTTCCTCCGCCTGCTGCTCATTGAACTCCTGCCAAGACAACAAGAGCTGCAAGAATAACCAGCTCTCTCTAGTCAGCACGCGGAGAGCGGGAGGGAGGGAGGCAGGCAGGCAGGGAGGGAGGGAACGGCAGGTCTTTCGTGTGTGAATGGATGCAAATAAAAGAACTGGGGTGTCTTCCCTTCTCCTTCCGGGCAAGAATGCTTTAATAGTAATGCGCGGCGATTGTAGTTTTGCAATAAAAAATAATTAATAGCCATCCTGTACACACAGCTTCGCCCGTTGCAGAAGGTCACCGCGCCTTTTGCGTGTGTTGTAAAGTTGGATTTTGGATTCTGCAATGGCCGCGTTTTAAAATCTAGGTTACCCGATGAATCGTTTCAACCTTCGATATTGGCTATGGAGGCATGACCTTCGGCAAATCCTTTACACTTAAAGCTGCCTCTTAAATTGAAATCATTAACCGTCCTCGAAATCTCCAAACCAATTCCCCGCGCGCTGCCATCGATTAAAAAAAAAAGCGTAAGGAAAGGATTTTGGATGATTATCGAACCTTTGTAAGAGCGCTGCCACCCGCACGAATGCCAGTGCTATTATTATTAGCAATTACTAGTGGTTTTCCCGAATTTGTTCCTAGTTAATACTCCGAGGCACGTTTCTTCAGGAATAAATCTCTCTGAATGTAATGGGCTGCCTAGAAAAAAGCAGGCATAGGGTTGTATTCTAAAGGTAGACTTTATTTCTGAGTAGAATTTATTGGGTATATTGGCGGGGAATGATGGGAGTTATGGTCAAGATATGTGAAATGTCACTGGAGTGGGAAAGATATTACATGGTTAAGTAACCAACAGCAAGGATCCTAAATACGATCCTCGTTTAAACGCCTACTTTGTTTGCCAAATATTACATGCAACGTTCAAGATTTTCTTCCTGAAACCTGAAATTGCATGTTAAAAGTAGAGTACAGTAACATGCTCCAGACATTATTTAAAATTTACTAACTTTTGTTGTGCTCAAGAATAATTTTAGATTTTTTTTAAAAAAAATCAGCAATTGAACGTAAGAAAATGGAAAATATTTTTAGACTGCCGCATTAAAAAAGACTTTAAGGTACCGCAGTATACTGTACAGTAACGAGAAGCCGGGGAATCCTGGATACATGCGTGAAAAAGCGCATTAAAAATTATCAACTTGATAGTTCTGTGTTGACAGGAAATTACCAAAATTTAAATCTATTGTGCGTGAGCCTGCTGGTTACATTAACCGCCGCTAAGCTTCTTCATAAATGTGTTACTTTTCCAGTGTCTTTTAAAGTCCTTTCAAGTCCAATACTGGGGCAGTCGCATTTCCTTTCCTCAGGCACCAACGCTACGCTGGGTATATTCAGCACACCCACCTACCCACCCTGATTTGCAGCTTTTCTTTCCCACTCCGCGCCTTCTCAAAAAAAAAAAAAAAAGCCGCGCAGCTTCTTTCGATATAAAATAAGAGCTCGTTGTCACTAAAGGAAAAGCGTGATCCTACTGTACATATATGTAAGTGTCACGCTGCGTGCCTATGGGATCGTGCCGGGTAAACAAAATGGCAGCGTTTTCCTAAAATTCTGGCGTCTAGGTCACCATTCCCACAGTGCTGCCGCAGCTGCTGAGTTATGTAGGTTACAAAGGGAAACGGGGGAGGGAGGGGAAAGAGCGCTCTGACGTCTGCATTTTGTTCCAAGGGCTTTGGCTGCACTCTCCGTGCGCAGCCGCAGTCCAAGACGTGACTCTCTGCTATTGGCACTTGGAAGGCTTGTTAAGCGAATTGCACATTCCAGAGGCGGAGACCTCCTTATTGTTGCGCCGTCACGGCCATAAGCTCCGCCCCCTCTGCTGCTATTTCTGGGCGCCCGCCCCACGCTCCCTTCCTCCCAGGTGCAAAGCTCGCCCAATGTGGTAGCTGACGGGTGTAAAAGCTACCATGCGTACTCCCTTTCTTCGCTCTCATCATTAATCTGTGCGGCTCCTTTTGGAGGCATATAGTGCTATCATTCATTCAGACCTGTTGGGGTTATGGGAGAACGATTGGCCAATGTAAATCCGGGTGCTGTAATTGCTTGCACGTGTGGGTTGCCTATATCACGATCCGGCGTTACTCTCAAGGAGATCGGTTTCAGCTCCTTGCTGACGCTCTTTATTTATCAAATTTTAAAACCGCCCATCTCCCTGACAGAGGGACTTTTCACGTTCCTTCTCTGGGTACAAACTCAGTTTCTGGAGCAGTCAAGTTTCCGATCACTATTATTTTTCTTTAATGCAAGCAGACTCGAGCCGATTTTTTTTTTACAACCTCTTCCCTTTGAACTGGAATGAACTGGTTGTGAGTTGGAAGAGCAGAGTGTAGATCATTATCTCTCCAACTGGATTGGCAAAGAAGGCAGGGGGGGGGAAACATGGTGCTGACATTGTCTAGCTTGTTGCTACTCAAAATGCGGCGATTTCTTTTGAACATTTTCTCCTAACGAAGCGGAAAGGTTTGGTTTTCTTTAAAATTCACCCTCGATTTTATTGAACTTGCTGGATCACATGAATAAATTTGTCCTCAAATTGCATGGCTGTTTAATCTCATACTAACACGTTCATTATTCCTTCCACGATTTTCCCGCGTGGGGATTTCCGCTGTCAAATGCCCTGCTTGTTACGCTTGCGCTTTTCAGTGTTACCAGCTATTCCTGCTAGCGTGCAAAAACGGACTTGGTGCAGGCTTCTGTCTCACAAAATCTTGTGCGCCCCCTCCCAAATGCTGCAGTGCCCCCTCCCACCGTTTCTCACAGATCCAACAAGTCACCTCCCCTTTCTCAAACATCCCATCCTGGTTTAAAATGGAGGACTGCGATTGTTGATACACTCAGGAAAACCCTATTGTCCTTTCGGTGCAATGCAGCTTAATCGCTTCCTGCCTTCTCATGCCTCCGCGGTGAAGCCGCATCAGACATAAACAGTGCCCTTCCTTCACCCAGTCAACTCTCCCACGCAGCACAAAGCCAATTCTCAGCCCGCCATTTGCTTCCCCCTCCTCTGCAAACATTGTCCTTGTTAAATGGAAAATCTTGCGAGAAAGTCTTGGTTTCTGCTGGTTCTTAAAGACAAGCGAGGTTTTTATTTTAAAATAAGATCGTGGTCTTGATTCTTCCTCCCAGCCCAGGAAATTCTCATTTCCCAGCTCTGAGATTATTATTATTATTATTGAAAGAAGCATCTACTACCGCCCCTTTTTGCCCTTCAGTTTTGTCCGAGTAGGCAAGAGTTAACCGTGTGTTGTTTTCTAATCCACAGCCGCCATGCCTTTTATGTTCTGTTCTATCGAATTCTTTGTTAGCAGCTCTCACGGAACTTCCAACCCCCCCCCCCCCAAGCTGTATACTTTCAGTAAACAGATCTTTGTTTTTGCCTTCCATCCACCGCTTTCTCCAAAAAAGAAGCTGGATCCCTTCCAAGCTGGCTGCAACAACTACTTGCCTACACTAAAAAAGAGGGAGGGAGGGAAGGCGGGACGGGTTTCTAGGGTGAGGCAATGTGTCTGCAATTCACAGAGACAAGGCTGGAATTGTAATTGCTTCCATCATGTGATGGCTTATGAAAGAGGAAGTTTGGATGTTTTAGTCACGTAGTTCTTTACCCTCTTGCTTAGCCTCCAGGAAAGGAAAATTGCATATATTGCCTACACATCAAGAGAGAGCCAAGGAACAGCATATTTTGATAGAAATATATAACCAGTGTGAACTGCTTGCTAATAATAATATTTTTTAAGAAATAAATGGAAGAGAAAAAAAAATTACATGACCTTTATCCAGCTTTACTGTTTTTGTTTTTAATTATTCCTGTAGTAGCTGTACCGGCTCTCAGAATATATCCCTTTATACAATCCAGGAGTCAAACTGGGGCTCTTCTACGTTTTTGAAGTTTGTTCTTATTTTACAAACAACTGAATTAAATTCTGGGAATTTAACCATTCATAGTTTCTATTGTTACACGGTAATATTATTATATTTAGGAATAGTTATAGCTAGGGGACACCTAATGGTGATTGGCTGTAATACCTCTAAATAAAGTACTTGCATAACTACTGAAAAAAAACAAAGGATTTCAGATTACATTTTCAATAGAATAATATTGATATGATTATGGAGCCTAAGTGGTGTTATGAAGGAATGGGATAGAATAAGAGGATAAGTAATAAATGTAAGTTAATTAAATGTTTAGATCCAAAGGAAGTGATCCAGATGGAGTGGTTATGTTTATTTGAAGGGGGGGAGGATTTAACGCTCAATTCAGATTCTTTCTTTAGCATCACAATCCAGTGATAAAGATTACTGGAAAAGTAGAAAATTCATACCTGCTGTCTTACATCAAAGACATAGAGGCCTGTGGCACCTTAAAAGCTAAGAGATTTATTATGGCATAAGCTTTTGTGAAGGTCACAGAAATGAGTATCCTAGCAGAACATGCTCTATCATAAGCTTATTTATTGGAAAGTCAATCCAAATGAATTCAGCAAGACTTTTTAAAAAATAAAGTGATAGTAATTTGTCCCGAATTCAAAAGAAGAAGTAAGGAGCCAACCAATCACAGAACCCCAATCCTGGAGTTTCTATAACTGAAACTTAATTAAATGGTTTCAAAAAGATTCTAGGGATAGGCCCATCTTTTTCTATCCAGGATTGCATAGCCACAGAAGTCATCTTAGGGTGCACAGAAGTCATCTTCAGCTTACGGTGTGAAAAGCTGAAATGAACCAGAACCAAGAGAAGATATGCCCACTGAATATCTTTCTGGCACATCCCTTTTGGTTGTTTTGTTTGTTAAAATTTCTCTCTTTTTCTTTCTTCTCTGGTAGTTACCTACTAATATTAAGACAGATTGCTCTTGCCACAGGCTGAGATTCATCACTTGCAAATAGCTTTGGAAATTAGGTGGAAAACTAAATGAAAAACAGGCCAAGAACTAAGATGGATAGGAGATATATGTTGTCTGCCCTTGGATAAAAAGATGGGGCAATAGTTCTAA